AGCCATCTTATCTTTTGTTTTCTGGTAGCACGGTGTTTACATTGCTCCCTTGTCCTTATGTTTTTGTTTTCTTTATTTTGGTTGGCTTTTGTGAGTTTTGCCTCTGATTTTTTGTTTGTTTGTTTTATGTTACATACTTCAATTCTAACTCTATGGTGTGTGGTTGCCATTACAAATATTTAAAAGAATTAGATATAGATAGATGATATAGATATAGATATAATCAACACTAAGCTTTTATGCCTAAGACTTCAGGCCAATTCTTGCCATAGGTCGTGGTATATTTGCCTTACCATAGCTCTTTCTTTTTTGCTCTAGTGCTTCTCAGAAAAAAATAGGACACTGAAATTTGAGGACTTAATGGAGTTTAGCAACTTCAGTTATCTGATGTCTATGAAGCCTGACCAGTCTACTTGTAGTCTATAAGATCATGTGGAAGCTTCAGCGTGAGCTGATCCCTTTCAGTATTTCCTGTATTGCAGGACTTTTAATGGAGAATTCCCTCAATTTTTGTTTGTCTGGAAAGGTCTTGATTTCTCCTTCATATCTGAAGGAGAGCTTAGCTGGATACATTATTCTAGGCTGGTAGTTCCTTTCACGTAATAGTTTAAATATTTGGTTCCATTCCTTTCTGGCTTGTAAGGTCTGTGCTGAGAAGTCCGATTATAATCTAACAGGTTTTATTTTATATGTTACTGTTTTCTTCTCCCTGACTGCCCTGAGAATTCTGTCTTCATCGTTGATTTTTGATAATTTTAATACAATATGTCTTGGTGAAGGCCTTTTTGGGTTGAGATAATTGGGTGTTCTGTTGACTTCTTGAATTCCAAACTTCAGCTCATTCCTTAGATTTGCGACGTTCTCATCAACTATTTGTCTGAAAATGCTTTCTAATCCCTGCTCTTTTTCCTCACTTTCGATAATGCTCATTATTGTTATGTTTCTTCTCCTCATGGTATCAGCTGGTTCTTGTATTTTTCTTTCATTATTTCATTATTTTTCATTCTTTGATTTCTCTCTTTTTCCTTCTTTATTTCTAGAGTTCTGTCTTCGATATCACTGATCTTTTCCTCCATTTGGTCAACTCTATTTCCCAAGTTGAAGAGTTCTTCAACTCTTGCAGTGTTTCAGTGTTTCTTTATCTGCAGAAGGTCTATTCAGTTCTTTTTGAGAGTTCAGTCTCCTTGCTAAGGTACTCATTCTGCTCATCTAGTTATTTTTTCAATTCTTGAAATTGTTGATATGATTTGTTTTGGATCTCATTGAGTTATTTCAGAAGTACCATCCTGAATGTTGTGACATTTAAGTCACATATTTCTATGTTCGTAAGCTTGTTTTCTGGAGATTTTTCTCTTTCTTTCTGAGATGCCTTGTCATCTTGGTTGTTCATGGTGTTTAATGGACTATTTCTCCTCCTGGGCATTAATGGAAGTGTATTCTGCTTTTTTTTTTTTCCCCCCCAGAAAGGAGATTTATTATATAATGGTCCCTAAACTGTTGCAAAGAAGGTGTTTTTGTTTTGGTTTCCAGTAGGTGGTGTCTAAGTCTCTTGGATTTCTGCTTTATATAAAATCTTAATAATGTCTTTTTTTTCCCTTACAGATATCTAATCACTCTCGCTACCCTCAGTCTCCATTCCTGTCAGTATTAGTGACAGTTTTGGTAGCATTTGTTCAGGTTCTCCTCGGGCTCCCCGGTGTTTGATCTTGGAGAGCATAGGGGGAGGGCCCTTCTGTGTTTAGGGATGGAGTCTGTGGCTCAGCCTCGGTTTTGCAATCGCAGCCAGTAAAAATCAACTGTTGTTTCTCTGCCGTCCCCGCTTTTTCTACCATTCCCATTTCTCTGCCTTCTGCCCTGATGACTGGGCACTGCCGCCGGTCATGTGGAGCTCACAGCACTCCCAGGCAATGCTGTTCAGGGTATTCACCATTCCTTCTCCCCTCCCTCTCCTCCTTCAGGGAGCTCCGGTGGCTGTGAAAGGCAGCTTCTTTATTTCTCTCAGTCCACCACTTGACAACCAGGGTTCTGCCCTGTGGTAACTCTTATGTGCAGATCCCATGCTCAGATGTGCTGGTGTGCAGTTTGGGTGTTTTTTGTTGAGTTTTAGGTGTTCAGCTTATTGTTATTTCAAGGGGAGAGATCCAGGGATATCTCTCAATCTGCTATGTTCTAAAAGTTTTTGATTTTTATGAAGAATAATTTTTCTAATACATCATGCTTTTGGTGTCAAATCTAAGAAATCTTTGCCTTATGCTAAATCTATAGATTTTATCCTTTTTCAAATATATATTTTTTGTTTTACATTTCATATTTAATTCCACAGTCCAGTTTAAATTAAATTTTGTGAAGACATGAGACTTAGGTCAAGGTTAATTTTTTTTCCTTTTATTCTTCAGCATCATTTGTTAATAAGACTATCTGTCCTCTATCAAATTGCTTTTGTATCTTTATAAGAAAATCAGTTGGGAATATTTGTGTGGATATATTTCTGGGTTTTAAAAAATCCGTCCCATGTGTCTTTCTCTCTGCCAATATTACATAGTCTCCATTACAATAACTGTAATAATGTTGTAAAATCAGATATACTGATTCTTCCCAGTTTATTCTTCTTTTTCAAAATTGTTTTATTTTAGTTTCCTCGCCTTTTTATTTCTTGAATAATTGCATGTGGTATAGTATCTTTAATTTTTGTTTCTTTGCATAATCTTTATTACTAAGGCATAATCTTTCTGGGGTCATAACCTATGTGGTGTTCATGGGGTTATACTGTACCTAGCCAGAACTTCAATATCTCTCAGTAATGTGTGGCCTTGAGAATGTTTATTCAGCACAAAGCTCCCTAATGGCTCCTTTCTGCCAATTCTCCTCTCGTGTTCTGCTTGTGCAGATTAGCACTGGACTAATAACATAAGGGGATCCCATGAAGATTTCTGGTGCTCCTTCTTTTCATAATTCTTCCCTCCTTGTCACCCCTCCCCACAAATCAAGCTGCTTCAGTAGCCATGACTCTGTTTTTTATACTCAGTGAGACTACTGTTCTCTGTTTAGCCTCCACATCTTTATGCCACAATTTGTAAGAAAGCCAGAGTGAAAGCGAACTCTCCCAATGTGTTTATTTTTCTCTCAAGGATCTAGCTATACACATCCCTGTCCAATACTTAAAATCAGTTGCTTCATATATTTTAACCTGTTTTATGTTTATTTACTATGGGAAGTCCGATATAATTATTCATTATGGCCAGGGCCAGAATTCCAGAGGCATTGGAATTTTTTAAAAGTTCCTGAAGCATTTTATTTGTTTGTTTGTTTGTTTTTGGTTTTATTCATTTATTTTTTTCCTTAAAATCCCTTCAAGGTTCAGGACCACTAAGTTAGTTAAATACAGTTTAATAATAATAAGAGCTGATATTTATATAGTAAGTGTATAGTACAACATATCAGGCTCATTTAATCCTCACTACAGTTCTATGAAATAAACAGATATTCCAATTATACAGATGGGAAATGGAGGCACTATAATTGACCCAAGGACCCAAGGTCATTTAATTTATGAATAGTAGAGACAGGATTCAGTTAATATTTTTAACATTTTACTGTGGTATCTCTAGGAAAGTATTAATACGTGAGCTCTAAGGTTCAGTCAAATTAAAGTAAGAAAAGAGTGCTACTTTCTTCTCAACTAGTTACTACTAGTGAGGACATTTCACTGAAAGATTTTATTCACTAAGGTTTTATTTCAAAGCAGGTCTACGTGGCATCATTATCATCATTATCACTATAGCTTATATTTATTGTATATTTAGTATATGCTAAACGATATATTATGAATTTTATGTATATTTTCAATTTCTCATAATAACCCTTTGAGATAGTGACATGATAGAGTTGGCTCTTACCAGTTGGTAAGAGCTGATTATTAAATTTTGGGGAAGATTATGAGCTGATTGATGTTCTGTTGGTGAGAGTGATCACTCAAAGAAATGGATAAATATCATACATTAGGGCTTCCTCTTCCTCTGCTAAAGTTACCTGTCAAACATTTACTAGCAAACCATTAGTATTATTATTAAGTCCATTTTGGAATGAGGAAACTGACATATGGAGTGGAGGTAGGAATTAAATAACTTGCTACTGACCACACAGCAAATAGCAGCCAACCAAAAATTTCAGAACCCAGATTCATGTGCATTGTTCACCATTACACTGGTCAGTATGTATGGTGATGACATTAATCTTGGTTATTCAAGCAGGTAGAGATAGGTTAAAAAGAAGAGGGAGATCATGTAATATTAGATAATTTTGATTTTAAAAGCAGTGTTTTACTATTTAATTTTTTAGTGTTTGGACTATTTTTAGTTAGACTTGTAACAATTACCTTGCTGTTCTTTCCTTTACACTTGAAATTTATGATAAATAAAATGGAAGTGTTAGATGAGTAGTGATGTCTGCATAAAAAATTCTTACAGATCTCTTTATAATTATCTTACCTTGAGATGAAGCAGAGGGAGTCATGCCCATTATGTTCTGTTAGGGAGAGTTTGGTAGTATTGTCTTAGAGATTAAATTAAAATTAATTTAATTAAAATGTTTTGATTAATAGCATTACTAAACATAGCCCCATAAAGTTATAGAAGACAATGGAGCCAATCATAAGTAGGTTTCTGCTTTTCTTGAGTGGGTATTAGGAGTAAATAAAAATAAAAAACATTTATCGAGTGCATACTTTGTCCGGTACTATTTTAAAATATTTTTAAGTTTTAATTCCTTCAACTTTTATAATAAACCTATATTTAGGAGTGCAATGAAAGGATTTAGGGTTCCCGAAGCTAGAACAGGGATGAGGAAATTGTCAGTTGTTCCCCCTCTCCCCAGTCATGCCATCATAGCTAAATCACTCCCACAGTCCAAGTGGGTTTGAGCTACCTCACTACAAAAGCATATTTTAGTACACAGCAACAGTTTTTATAAAATACTAAAATAAAAAATATATCTTTCTTTACTTGTGATTTTTCCTTCTCGGATGCAAGAGAAAAGTCAGAGTAAGCAAACAGAAGGGCCATGTTTATATTAGGCATTCCTCTCATTTCACTCCAGACCATTATAAATGCCCAGCGCCAGCTGAACCCATCACCAAGCCGAGACAAAAGAGGGCTCATTAATAGAAAGACCAGAAGTCTAAAAGACAAAACAAATTTTGAAAGGTTATTCTTGTCATAGAAATTTATTTACATTTCATCCTACTCTATTCCTTCCAATCTATTCCCTATGGAATTGCCAGCTCTCAGACAAAGGAGCCATCTTTTACTTTTGGCACAGCACCAAAGGAGGGCAGAAGGATGTTCTATAGAGAGACATGCCAAGAGAATGGCATTAATAGTCTCTTTGTTTCCTCCTGTTGGGTGAGTAGTAAGGTAATTCTACATCATCCCCCTTGAGTGGTGCTTCTTCAGACAGAAGAGGAAAAGTTAGCGATATTTTGTAGATGTATATTCTATTCTGGATCACAAACAGAAATAAAAGCAAATTTAATGAATAAGAGGTAAGGGAAAAAAGTCTTTCCTTTTTTTTGTAGATTTAAAGTTTTGCTGAATCTGTGCAATATGGGTCAATTCATTTTTATTTCTTCTTTTAGCCACATATCATTCTTACATTTTATACTAATTGTATCTGATAATTTGGACCTAATTCGAATTTTCAAAAATTTTCCCAAGGGCTTACATTGCTTTGAAATGCAGTTAAAAACTGGAAAAAAAATACTAAGCACGAATTTGCTGATGAGTCCTCGGAAAGTTTAAAAGTCAAGTTTTCATTCCAAGGAATAAAAATTTCTACTATTTAAAAGAATATCTTCATGTTTATTCAGTATCCTATAAATAGAAAAATTCAAATGTTGTTCTTACCTTAAAGCAATAAGTGTAAAGTATACACTTAATGAATAATATATGTCAGAAAATGATATATGTAAATACATAGGTGCAGGAATTAGAAGTCCGACGAAAGTAAACACCATAAGAAAAGCAACAAATGATAGACAATTCCAGAATCTGCATTTTCAGAAAAAAATTAAATATAGTTATAGTTAATTAATCTAATATATTTATTACAAGACTTATCTATGAATGAGGCATTGTACTAGGCATTACTAAGAAAGTAAAGATGAATAAACTATTTATCAACACTGAGGGGCTTATAATTTCACTGAGGAGAAAAGAGCACTAAGGCAAGTAAACAAATAATTGTAAAGCAATTTTAACCACTTTACGCTGAATGTAAATTAGTGTCTTTCTTTTTTGATTGACTTTGAAAGACATGTTTAGGTTATAGTTATGCTATCTGACAGAACTCTTTCAGGCATCATGGTTCACAGAGCTTAAAAATACTAAATTGTGAAGTCCTTGTACCATTAGGAAAGGTTAAAATTGACTTTGAAAGGAAATACTAAACTACTAGTCTGGTTTACATAGTGATAGAATTAAGCCTTTGCCTAAAATCTGGCAAGCACTTAGAAGATATGAAGGAATCTTTTATTCACTTGAATGCTCTTTGTAGATTCTCTGTTTGGGATTTGTGAGGATGTGCTTATTTAAGTGCTCCAGAGCCCAGGAAAACTGCATCATTCTTAAAGCTCATGTTCTCATCAGCTATATGCAAAGCAGTTTGAAAAATCACACTCAAATACCAATATTGGTCATGTTTGGGTGTTGGGACCATATGAGACTGTTTAAAACTTACTTCTTTTATATATTTCATGTTGTTAATGTCAACTATTATATTTGTAATAAAATAAATTGAAAAGATTAAAAAGATACTTAAACACAATTTTATGAGAGGAAGGCAGCTTGGTTTTACCCATATGGTACCAGACTCTGTCCATGAAACCCTTGAAAGATAATTTTTGTCTCTTCTTCGGGAATATTGCTTTTTGCTTAAAAACAAATTCAGTACTAAAAGCAAATCTTTCTCGGTTACATTAATAAGAAATCTTTGTTTCTGAACTATATTTAAGAGGTACAAATAAATACCTAGGCATTATCAGAGAAACAGTCATATAAAACATTCTAGCTTAGGAAATATTAAATCAAATCACTCAAAATATTTTTTTCTGTTACTGAACTTAAATTAATCACTCTAGGCTGAGAGCTATCATTCCTTTTTTGTATATGTATGGACATACTTTAAATTCTGTTACCTTATGAATTTAAATATTGCATCCAATATTAACTTGGAGGAAAACACACTAAGATATATTTTACGATGGCTGTGTAACCTTTGTATTTTTATCATTCTTTGACTTCCCATCAAAAGCAAATTTAATTGTTGTACCAAATACAATAGGCACCCCCTGCCCCCTAAAAAATTCCTCAAAGAATTATACCCACCTACTCATACAATTAAGAAATCACTTGTAAACATTGAGTAAAATATTTCAGTCAAGTGAATGGTGAATATGAACCACTATCATATTTTGCTATTTATTTAATGACTATAATTTTAAAATTCTCCTGAACATTGTGGAAAAATGCCACCAAATACCAAAAATTACAGTCTTATTAATTAGCATAAAGAGTAATCAAATCAATTAAGCCACAAATATTGAGACACTATCAAGACCTTTTATGTGTGGTAGAAATTGAGAGAAACCTAATGAGGAGAAAAGCAGATTCTCTAAGAGAAATCAGTCTCCATCAAATTTATAGTGCTGTGAGCCAAACAATCAAGTTCCAAATCCATCTAATAGATGTGTGCATGTACTCGTGTGTGTGTGTGTGTGTGTGTGTGTGTGCGCGCGTGTGTGTGTATGTGTGCGCACACAGTAAGTCAGGCACACAGAAAAAGAGTTTCTGAATCTTTTTTAAAAGTCCTTTCTTTCATGTGGTGTTCATGAGCTATGCTAATAAATCTAGATCTTTTATGGTAGCAAAGATTCACAACCTTGTTTGCATGCAAGTTTCATTTAGGGAGAGTTTTTAAAAATCAGAAATCCTATGCTCTCACTCTCATAGATTTTGACTCTATAGATCTGGGCATCTATATTATTTTTATTGCCTAATGTTGCACAGACACTAGTCTAGAGGAATGATAAGACCTTATGACCTGGACATTTTAAAAATGTTAATTTGCCAAGAATAAAAGATCGCACAGGGTAGCAAGGAAGCAGTTCCTATTTTGGAAATTTCTAACAGGATGATATATGAATAGAAACATGAAAGAAGTGAGACAGCTACTTCTGCCTGTATGCCGGGGAAGCATGCTGATATGCAGAGGAAGCATATTTCAAGAGCAGATACAAGCCAGAATAGGAACATGTTGGCATGCTTGAGAAACAGCAAGGTGATCAATGTGGCTAGAACAGGGTGGTGTGAGGAAAAGAGCGGTAGAAATGAATCACAGAAGTAACAGAGGGACATATCATAGGACTTTGACACTAAAACAACCTTGACTTGTAGCTAAACGAGATGAGAAGCTAATAGATGATTTTAAACAAAATAAATGATCTGGGTATGGAGAAAATAAGGCAGGTAAGGATCAGTAAAAGATCACAAGGTCACAAGATCAAGTCTCAGTATGTTTGCAGAAATGTTAGAATTGGGGTCTCAGAGGATGGAAACTGAAAAGATGAGAGATGTTGCATCTCCACTCTTAGAGAATAGCATGGACCTGCTGTAGATTGTTGTAGGATGTAGTAGGTTTTATCATTATTATTTTAGATTTCTACTATCTTGGAGAATAGAAGCTGGTAGATATCATATTTTAGATACTAAGATTCTTGAAATTGAGATTATGAAGTGATTATTTATATGATCATATAGGTGTCCGGTGTGGTGGACATGCTCATGGGAGGAAACTGAAAATGGAGGGAGTAGAAGGGTCAACTTAGTGGATATTGATTAGCATCACTATGAATAGTGATAGAGTAATGTTGGAGAGAATCACAGCAAGAGGGAGCCAAAATCTTCACAATATGGAGAGTTTGACTCATGACTCTAGAAGGTGGCAGATGGCATGAGCTTTAAAATTAGGTATTTCTGGGGAAGGAGGAGAAAGAATGATACAGAAACGAGTGAGACACAGTCTACCACAATTCTAGGCTTAGTAGTATGAGGGTAGGAAAGACACCATGACTTTTAAGGAATGCAAGGGAAGTAATGTCTTCAGGGGAGATTCAGCTTTCAGTTACAACAAGAAGGTGAAGGAACCTTCAGATACACTTCCTATAGATATAGTTGAACACTTGTGTAACATTTAAAATTTTTCCTACAACTATGGCCAGGTTAATTCTGCCTAGGGGCTAGTATAATTGACTTCCATTGTTCACATGGAATTTTAGTAAACTGACCCTGAATTCTATAAGATCTTATCATTAAGTTTCTGACTTCTGAATTTATTCTATCTTCTATGATGGTCTCCCAAACTCTAAAAATCATTGATCATGTTCAAGGCCATTGTTAGTACATATGTTGTTGTTGTATGATTTAGGCTAAATTTCTACCCTATGTATTCAAGCATTACAGAAATCACTCTCCTTTAGACTGACACAGATTCCACTCACCCTTGAGCTTGGCACCCTTTAACAGGGAATAATTTGAACATTTCTATTAAATTTAAGTGTTGCTTACATTTAGTTTAGCCATACTTTTATTTATTTATTTATTTATTTATTTATTTATTCATTCATTCATTCATTCATTCATTCATTTATCTATCTACTTATTACCAATTTTACAATATGTGCTGTGCTAGACACTTGTGATACTGTTGATTACCACAAAATTTCTCCTCTTAAGGAAGTCACAATCTAGTGAAGAAACTCATTCAGAACAAGAATATACACATAAACTGTGGAAGCCTATAGTGCCTGAGGTAAAACAAAAAACAAACAAAAACAAAAAAAGTCTTTACTGAGAAGTAATATTTGA